ATCATCACAACAAAATTCTGGCTTGCGAGTCACCCAACACTTCTACTCGAAATGGAAGTAATCCCAACAACTTACGAATCTCCGTCACATGCCTTTTCAAACCACATGTAAGACACGGAAGCGGTCTGACCTCGTTTTCGCAAGTTAGTCGTGTTGGAGGTCACCGATCCAGCACTATTCGGGCATAGGACGCCGGACAAGGTGCACTGCTAACATTAACAAGTTGTGAACGCGAGATCAAACCACTTTCATACAGCGAACGAAGCAGTTGAGCTTAGTTGGACGAATAACTCCTCACCACACTGTCCTGAGTCTCAGTGATATAAGGACTTGTCCTTCTTCAGAAAGTGAATCCATGCTGCAATAAAAATGTAACTGGATACAAAGTCAAGACTGGGTGCCAGCTGCGATTCGGCCTAGTTCTTACAAAATTCAGTATCCGTATCAGTGCTGTCGGTAAATCGTGAAAATGAACTGTAATAAGCCTTGATTGCAAAAGGCAATAAAAGACTAATATCTTAATTGTCTCAAACTGAATTGAGCAATAAATTTATTTGCCCACTAAACGGTGTTCGCTGAAGTACATTAGGTCAAGATTGTGGTTCAATTAAACTGAGGCGGTAAATCCTGCTTTATTGTCTTATTTGTGCAAAAATTCAACTAACGGTACATCCTTACATTATGCAAAGGCATTTTTTGTTTCTTATGTATCAATTTTGAGACATTCATGTCGCATTCGATACCTTGGCTGGCTTGCACTCTGGCGAAGTTGGTGCGGTTTGTTGGATGGTTTTTGCCACTTTTATTCGTGTTTACTTGAGAAGCCAAGTCGTTTGCGATCTGATAATATGCGTACTATGAGGTCCGATCTTGGCGAGGCATGGCAAGTTGTCAGACTGACTTGTACGAGCCATTAAGATCCAGATGACTGCTAGACCTTTCCGCAAAGTCATCCATTAAGGAAGAATTGAAGACAGTGTGCGAGGATATGATTTGAGTAGTTTGATCTCTCCAAAAAAAAACAACGATGGATTCCTTACAACTGTACTCAAGCCCAGTAGACGTTGTTTCCGAGGAAGTCTCCGGAAAGAAAGCGATTGCACCGAGAATAACGTCAGCCAGAAGGTTCTAGTAAAATGAAAAGACCACTGATCAAAAGAAATCCACCGCCGTATTCTGGTGAGGTCGACTTACTTGAATATCTTCACCACATACTCTTGCTCGAAATTGGAGTGAGGTACCTCGAATAATAAAGTTATTTCATATCTTCATCTAATAAAAGTTTGCCTAATTTCGTCTTTTTTCACTTTAAGTGAACGATTAAATCTATCCGTAATTGGGCATGCCAACAAATTCGAGGAAACAGAATGATAGATCAAGGCACCAAGCTCTTAGTTCAGGGCATTGGATCATGCGAGAGCTTGGCTATTTCTTGATTAACAGCCTCAGTCAGTCCACGTCGCTTAGGGTAATGGATGCAAAGAGGACTCACTTCATTGCCTCCGAGATGGCTTTTCTTCCACTCTGGCCGGCAGCTTTGGCCTCGTCCAGGTCTCAGCAGCAACTACAATGGGGCTCGAAACCAGATCATGCGAATAAAGTGGAGACACATCACCACCAGACCACACAACCAAGTGTCGGTGCCAGTAGGTAGCAGGGAAGATATGTTTCTCAAAACGAGGCAGGCCTCTTACAGAATACATTGCACAACGTGGCTAACTAGTAGTTGTCATTACAATTGTCGAGCTCACTTTTAGTTTGAATAAAAGTATTAGGTGAAGAGATTATAAGCTTAATCCCTCCAGAAGAAAAGGCGGATTAGTTATTGATTAGCTTTATTTGAGCAGTTTTGTTGACGTTGTTTCCGAGGCAATCTTCTTCGATTTCGGTGAAAATGTGCTAACCTTTCGTTCGTAATATGATGGACATCATCAGAGCAAGGTATCATTCCTACAACAATAGTTAAAATGATGAGTCAAGAAAGTAAGTAATATTTAATTTCATTGGTAGACTTAAGTAAAAAAGAGCGAAGAGAAAATAGATTCTTGACTTTGGCTCAACTCAATAGTAAAGGCTGTTGGTCTTAAAAATACTAAATTAGCGAAACACACGCCGGAAACTAGACATGAGATGGAATGCTGTCAATCTTGTCGTTTTGCTGATTATCGTATGTCTACAGTTTAGTGCAATGTTAAAGAAGCCATTGAAATCAACCGATTAGGCATCATGTCGAATGCAAAGAATACCGGTAAGAAATTAAGCAAGAACTACTTATATTCTGATTGAGTAGGTCTGAAAACTTAATTGATAGACTAAAAAATAGAGGGTTCTTAGCCACCTGGAAAAATGAGGCACTTCAAATAGTCTCTTTTTTTCGTATGTCAGTAGAGTTTCGAGACTACCAGTAAATCAGTAATATGAGATGTATTCACCCAATTTCTTTAAGGTGATGAAGGACTGGTAGTAGAATTTTCGCACAATGATATGAGTAGAGTTGACATTTCTACTCAATTTTACATAGCCTTGCTTTCCCAAAAGTTGTTTTCATCCTGGCTGGAGTGAACTGCAATTTCGACCTCGCATCGGTCTTATCAACATCCTCAGCGGGAGTTGAACCGTGACAGTGCGGCATGTGAGCTTGACGCGTTAACCACTCAGCCACATTGCTACGAATACTCTTGGGTCACAGGGCAGATGTGAATTTCAAGCAAGGCCAGGCCTTTTCCCATATCACATTCTTTGGTGGGATTGTCGATGAAGTAAACGTTTTTTGATATAACAATCGACTACATTACTTATTTTTCGTATATAAGTAGAGTTTCGAGACTACCAGTAACTTTACTTATATACGAAAATATAGACTAGTGGTCTTCTCTCTATTGTAATATAAATATTTTTTTTAAAGCAAAGTAGCTTCAACTTGTTTTTGCGGCTAGGAAATGTGGTCAAAGGGAACTTGATAAATGAAACTTGTGCAGAGTAATATGCTCTAGCCATGAGGATTTGCAGCGTCGGGTTTTGGAGTTTGTGTTTCTGGACGCCCATTTAGCATTGAAATTTGCATAGTCACTTAACTTTGCCATTCTTAGTACAGGTCGCTTCGATTATCTATAGCTTAGGGGTCTCTTTTTGTAAATACTAAAAGTGACTGGGTCTCGCTGAACCTCTTAAGATAACATTGATGAGGAGCACTTTAATTCGAAGGTTGATGTCACCAAAAGACTGCGGCCAATTCTTATTGTACTGCGGCCGTTTGGCACAGTTGACACAGTCCACGAGGCATTCTGCCTCGCTTCGGGTGAGAACTGACTGAGCTTTTCTCCATCAAACGAGGGATATCAACAGAGCTGGAACTCATTCTTCTAAAAGTGTTACGCTACCAAACACAAAGTCAAGAAGACTATTCGGCTCTATGTAACTTCTTATATATATTCATAACCAAAAGCGAAAATGTATGGACATAAATAGATAAAGAATGATTGGGCAATAGCGGTGCTAAATCAGGGTTATTAAAAAGGCCCAATATCCGATTCGGGCCACTAAGGCTTAAGGCCCCAAGAAAGAAGTCAGACCGAGACAGCGTAAGC